CCACCATCGTTACCAAAGAATTGTTAATTATACTGGTACTATTTATATCGGTTCGCTTGCAATTTGTTCATTACGATTTATTTCGTTTCTGTCAAAGATTCCGTATTTTCAATCCTTTCAGTATTATGCAAATGATATTTTTCAACATATACCAGCACAATTACGATAATAACATGTAGAAATAATAATATTTATCGGATGGAATTATATATGCATCATCGTCGCTGGTACGTTAGCAATGATTTATCATAAAATTAAATGAATTTGATAAAATTCATGAATAATCAGTCAATAATAATTTGTATAAGATGCTATTTTAAATGATATTGCCTTCGGTGAAAACATACGTATATCTTTTCACTTCGGAGGAATAATAATACATATGTAATATTTGTAATTGTATAAGTGCATTTTTATTTGGTACGTTACAAATTATAAATGATAAATTGCTGCAAATCGGAAAGCACGGTTAAAAATATCACTGTTATAACATTCTTTTAATAAATGAAACTTACGAGATAATTGCTGTTCAAATTTACATTTTCATAGGAGGACTAACTTTTCACTAGGTTGCATTATTCGCCCTGCTTGACGCGCTAATAAATTCACTATAGCAGGTGTGTATTAGAGTGTTACACGGCATAACGTATCTAGCGTGTAGTGACTCATAAATTTGATCACGTAAGAACGAGCATACGTGTTTACGCCGATTTTATATGCGAAGTCATTTACAACATCAAAATCAGGCGAAGACAGGGATAAGGTAGCAATCTTCGAAATTAATCATTATACTAAGCATGTACGAGGAAACCATTAAACGTAGCGCACAGGATATCCTGCGGTTAATGGAATCATGAAAGAGCACGTGATTTTGCGTGCAGAAGAAATCGGAAATGTCGAACGTATCTTTTACCTCGCCAATTTCCTTTTTGACGTGTACTTTCACTGAACCAGTGAATAATAATGAAAGAGTGACAACAGAATCGATGCACAGCGAATGACATTTTAATACAATCCGCGTTCGTTATGAGTAAACATGACAAATGGTAGATACGTGTTTTCGAAACGGTACCCAATGCGTGAATGATTAAATTCAGTTTCCTTCGGAAACGATCTTTGGGCACGGAAACATTGTGTTTTAAATATTTCATTTATGTTTGCGCATGGAGGTGCTGTATTATCAGGGTCTACTGCCTCTTGTATCGTATATCGAAACGATAGACATCGAATTTTATGCAATTTTAGTAGAAAATCTAACATTTATCAGTATTTGTTTTATTTCCGACAGTTTTCTTGGACGAATCAAAAGAACTTTTAAACTTACAGATATAATATTTGTTTAATTACTGCACGAGAACATGATTTGTAAACCATTCTTATTAAATAGGTATAATAATAGTAATACAATAAAAACAACTAGTTGATTAATTTTCTGAATTTCAAATTGAAAAAAACTCGGAAAGAGTTCAACTATAATAAGTAGACTGCAGATTTCAATGCAAAATAGAAAATGTCTCCGTTAATTGGAAGATATAGAAATTAACTAAGAAATTCATTTTCCGCCTAGTTGTTTTAATAGATTAAAAATAATATATTCGCATTTTCAAATTCGTTTAATCTTATTATTATTTTAAATTGCATTTACCCAATTTTGACATATATAATCGTATTTCAACAGTGAAATTTTAATTTATATTCGTATTAATTAAAAAACACGTGTCGAAGATATCGTCAAAAGGGTGCGACGTTTGATTATATTATTTTAACGAATGGAGTTTCATCGAAAGTCAATTAACCCTTTCGCTACGGCGGGCCTCGCCGCGGAGTCCCTCGTGTAGAACGGAGCACCCTGCCGAAAGCAGGAACATTAACCCCTTAATGCACAGTTTTTTTTAAAAAGGCCGGCCAAAAAAGATCAATTTTTGTTAATGTAAAAAAACACAATTTATAACGTTGTCTTGGCAAGAAAATTACAAAAATACAAAAATAATCAAAATTTTTATTGCAATTCTGGATTTTGATAACATTGCAGAAAATAGTCGAATATTGTAATATTACATGCGCGCGCACGCACACACACACACATCGACTTTTTTAATCTTTCTTTTCGAATTCCCATTTCAGAATGAACACTATTATCAGTAAAACTATTTATTTATACTTTTAAAACATAAATAATAACAATACTAGTAATTTTCAGAATATTACTATTATTATTATTATTATTATTATTATTATTATATTTTATTTTACATTATATTTTAGTAAAATATATATTGAAAAATGAGCGAATCAGAATCTGAATATGAATACGCTGTCGGAAAGCGGCTCACAAGGAAGAAGATAAGTCGTAAGTGATAAGTATAGAAAAAGGATATATTTTATACTTGAATAAGTAAGTGTTATAGCTTACAATCCCATGTAAATGATAAATATCAATAAAACGATTGTTCTTTGTTTGCTTTCACATTGTTATTTTCAATTCTCGATTGCATTCGAGTGTGAAAAATTATAGCAACATAAAGTACAACGCCGCTCGAATTATCTCGAGTTTGGCCAGTTTAGCGCGCTCGAGTATACTCGAGCGTGCACGTTAAGTGGTTAAGCGCGCGCAGTCTTCAGCATTCGGGGCCAAGTCTTTTGCTTCAAAAACGTTGGGTTAATATGACCAGATTTATTACAATTGATCGTAGCTTTGGTAGATGATAGCGTCTGCGAACAGAGGAAAGCGAGGCGATAGCCCTTGTTTTAACTTTTGGTTCCATTGTTGTGACCGGTGACTATAGTCACCTGTCGTGTATAGGTGGCATCTTGTGGCCGGTGACTATAGTCACCCATCGTATGCAGGTGTCGTTTTGTGGCGGGTGACTATAGTCACCCGTAGTAGCGAAAGGGTTAAAACAGTTGCATTCATTATTTAAAAATACACATTTGATATTTTCAACGTTCGTCTAGCATCAATACTTTCTAAGATATTCGACCATATAAATGTCGCATCCACCATCTTTGAGAGTTATTTTCTCACAACGTATGACAGTTGACGGATAACAAAGATTCATGGTAAATATTTTACGTACAAATATTTGCCCGCTTGAAGCTTTCACGAGGTGCACGATAAGAAAACATTATACACCCTTTTAGTCTAATGTTATTGCACTTCAAAGTCTGAGAATAGTGCACTTATTCACTGATATCCATACTTCGCATTAGCCAACCTATAAAATTATACCAGCTGCATCCAGTCCGCATTATAAATAAAAATTATTATAAAAATGTATTATTGTATTGCTTGAAAATAAATTGTGAATTTTTGAATCTGTGGAAAAATGCTAGTTAATTTATATAGTCTAAGTAACTGCCATTACAGACTACACAGTCTTCCCGACGTTTTACAAGTCTTTGTATTTTATAGAATAAAAATCAAGACTTCGGGTCCTAATAATTTCATAATTTTTCTTTTCGCATTTCTGCCTTTTGCAAATAGAATGATTCCTTCTGCAAGTCTTATTCAGCTTTTTGCGAACAAAATTGATTCCTTTGCAAGTTATATTCACATAGTCATTATATTTATTATATTGACATGTAATTATTTGTAATAAAATCCATATGAAATTCAAGAATTCAATGAAATTTTATAAATAATTATTAAAGATTAATGAAAATTAATTACATATAATAAAAGTATCAGTTTACAAGGTGTATGTAAATTTATATTACGCTTCAAATGTTTTGATTTACGTGAGGATGAATCATATCTGCAAGAGGGATCAGTTGCTTTGCGAAACACGTGAATGTGATCCACAAAAAAATTAATTTGAAGTCGGGAACGGTAAATATGATCTACAAAATCAATTGTTGCTGCAAAAACTGTATTAGAATAATGATTATAGATTCGATCTAGCATCCTATATAAACAAACGACCGTAATTATTATTATTATTATTCGTAATTATTCCCGTTCCCATAATTAGTTCTAATAACTGTGGTTCCTCTATACGCCAGAGCTCGGTAAAATATTAATCGACGACTAACGATTGAATTACTACTGTTAATCGTTAATCGCAATTAACGATTACATTCGTTTTAATCGTTAATCGCAATTGACGATTTCATTCGTTTTAACCATTAATCGCAATTGACGATTTCATTCGTTTTAACCATTAATCGCAATTGACGATTTCATTCGTTTTAATCATTAATAGCAATTATCGATTGAAATTTTACCGTTAATCTTAATCGAAATTAACGATTTCAATTGTTAGTCGTGATTAACAACTAATCTAAGAATTCCTGTCTGTGGTCCAAATGCAAAAATCAAATAAAGTAAATAGCACGATACAGAGAATTCTTAACGGAATTACATGAAAATATTCTCCCGCTCCTATTTAAAAAATCAACAATTATTTACCGTGTCTTTCAATCGTCGATTGACGATTAATCTCATCGATCGTTCGATTCGATCGTCGATTTTTCGACGATTAATGCCTTTAATNCGATTTCAATTGTTAGTCGTGATTAACAACTAATCTAAGAATTCCTGTCTGTGGTCCAAATGCAAAAATCAAATAAAGTAAATAGCACGATACAGAGAATTCTTAACGGAATTACATGAAAATATTCTCCCGCTCCTATTTAAAAAATCAACAATTATTTACCGTGTCTTTCAATCGTCGATTGACGATTAATCTCATCGATCGTTCGATTCGATCGTCGATTTTTCGACGATTAATGCCTTTAATCGTTCTCATCAATCATCTAATCAAATTGAAAGTTCCAATCGATTGGTATCGTACGCTGCTGTACACGAGTAGAAGCCATAAGTTTCCTTGGCAGGAATAGATCCGTCGAACGAACGAGTCGCTTGCTAGGGTATCTAAGATCTTGGACCAGCAGGATACCGGTTCGGCGTAGAACAGTTGCTTCGAAAATCATTACCGGTATTACAAGCGCAATTAATTGTTTAACTCGGTTAACATGTCCATTCGGTTTGTCTGTTCCAGGCGAGGTGATTGGCCAGCGGTTTCTGGGAAACGAGAGCCACGTGGAGCACTTCAAGCTCCTGGAGCGCGCGACCACTTCCATCCTGATTGGCGCCAGGTAATTGTTACGTGATTCGATTCTTTCCCGGTTGCTGGGAATGGGGAAAGGGGTAAAACAGGAAGGAGAAGAGAGCATGGGATCGGGGCGGGTACGGTGGTAAAGGGGCTGCAAGGAGAAGGGTCACCAGATGGTCATCGGTTAGATTCCAGTCGTTCGATCGCGTGGCCGCTAAGTTTCCGGCGAGTCACTCCCTCGATTACGCAGCACGAGACCGATGACGCGGTATCGGCGTCGCTATGAGGCTGCCTGCAGCCCCTTATGACGTGTCCTCTTTAATTTTACATGAGTCGTGCTCCCTTGGATCGATCGCCGGCAGCCACCCGGGCATTTCATATGGAATAAATTGGTTTCAATTACCGAGACGGAGGAACGCCGAAGAAACGCCGAAGGAACGCCGTAGGAGAAACGTCTCCTTTCCGTTCCCATTATCGTAGTCGCGGTTACATTAGCGTTTTATTGCGGCTGTGCTTTTCTTTCGACTTCACGTTCGTCTCCTTCTGCAAATATAATTTCATACGGCGTGCGTCGGCACGGGGCGGGGGACGATAGGAAACGTCTAACGCAAAGTAAACGACAAATGTTTGGATAATACGTCGGGGCGACCGTCGAGCTGAATTTTCTACCGTGAATACAATACAGTAATGTCGAACTCTACAGGGGATTCGGTGGTAAGACGGTGTTCGGGGATTTTAACCTGTTAGCTTTCGTCGACGCATGTTGCGGTACGGAAGTCATCGGACATTTGCTTCGAAGAATGAACGTTCACGAACCAAATCGATTAATTTCGCTTATGAAGATTTTGGATGCTTTGCGATGCTAAAATATTTTTGTGATATTTAGCTTCTTGTGTTTAAAATAAACCTTGACGTTGTCCTTGACACCACGAAATGACAAATTTTAGTGGTTGTCGAATAATAGGCAATTTGTTATTGGAAGATACATGTGTATTAGACAATTTATTTTACGTGAATTAAATAATATATTATTTATATAAATATATACGTGAATTAAAATGTTAATTAAAGAAAAGTTTCCTTCGTTAACTAAAAAATTACATATGAAGAGAAAATAGAAATGCTATTGGACATTATTAATTTATACGTGCTCTTGCATTTAAAAACTCTGCGCGAAGTATAATAATAATTAAACTGCGAATTTTTTTCCGTTTATATGTGTAGATTTTATTAATTGTTAATAATAAATTATCTAATATATGTACATGTATAATAGTAAATTGTCTAATATATGCTTACATTTATAATAGTAAATTGTCTAATATACATGCAAAACAATGAATTGTCTAATTATAAGTAGACTGCGGATTTTGTATGGCAAGATTGATTAGATGCAATTTAAGAAAAGAGGCAGATTATGAAAATTGAAGAATTTTGATTCATGCATTATTTTTGTCAACTGAAATTTGTTACAATGTTATTATATTGTTATTATATTGCATTCGTTCGTCGTCGTTTAATATGTTATGTTTGTACTATTTATCATTTTCATTGCATTACATTAAATACATTTAATTATATTACGCGAATTCTGTTAACTTCCAATTAATTAAAATTATTAGAGAACGACAGAGACACTTCTCTTATTTCACGAAAATGATGCATAAAATTTCTATTTTGCGTAATGATCCGCAGTCTGCTCATTACAATTATTAAAAGAGGAGAGACATTCTGATCGAAGTTATACATATATGGTCGGTGTAAGTTCACTTTTCTTTGAAATGAGTTACGCAGTGCAAACATATCATTATCTTCCCGTCGATAAATCAATATAGTCGATTTCTTCGTAAATAAACAACAAGCAGCAGTACTTATATTGATCACGGAATGACTAAAGGAAACAAAAAAAAAATTATAAGAAAAGTAAAAATAATAAAAATTAAATAAAACATTTAAATATTAATATTAATTATTTCTTTTCTATTTAATTATAATAAAAATTATGCTTCGCGTTATTAGCGGCATTGTTATTTTTTACAGCTAATTTAATAATAATGGACCAACACTGATTGCCTTCTGAGCTGTTCATACATGTTCCTTGCAATTAATCTTGTCATTTTTCCATTTCCACGATAATCCGCGGTCCACTTATGATATTCCCTTTCACGTATCGTGTACGCGAAAGTGTCTACCAGGTCGATAACGATCTGGGAAATGCAAGTATTTGAAATAAATGCAGATATTATACATTAACGCGTCTCTCGAGCGCACGTTCTTATCCACGAGAAAAGCGCCGGGAAATGTAAACCTCCCTGGGGAGGAAAAATCGTAAATTCTAAATCGTTGTCGAGAAAGAGAGCGCACGAACTGGATTCCAGTTGACTGTGGTTTATGTTTTCGAATTCCGCCGGTGACACATTTCGTTGTGATAGTGGATCGTATTTCGCACCTTTGAACACCTTCCTGACGCTTTTCACGCGACATGTTTCACTTTAAAGGCGGAAGTCTCGCGAACTCTTTAAGCGGAGCTTCGAATCAAGAAACGACGACGCGAGCGTCCAATTCTTCGGGATTACATTTTCAGTCGCTGAATTGCGCCAGCGTAACCTTGCATAGATTGAACGTCATACCCTTATTTATAGAAGAGCATGCGCATGGATAGAAAATCGCTACCTTCCTTTCCATTCGCGAAATATTCCCAATGATTCTTGCTTAATAAGAATGACAAGACTGAATTTATTTAAACTTTCTAACATTTTCACTATAATGAATACTTGAACTAAGATATTTATACAGTTTTCCACCATGAAGAGATTTTAATAATTTCAATAATTTTATGTTCAGAAACGTATAACCGGCCAGTGTGATCGGTAGGGTTGATTTAACGTTAACTTGCAGTTTAGTAACATTATTTTTTATATTTCTTCCTTCCGATGAAAGTTGACATTTGGAAATTAATCGTTGGCGAATTGACTAAAACAAAATGTGTTGTTTGTTTGTGCTGTTTTTCAATTTCATGTTATTTTTAGTCGGATTTTGGGACAAAATTATGTTGCTCTGTTCTTTCTGTTTTGTAACAAAGGGACTGTTTTATAGTCAATTCTCACTTTATTGTTCTCAATCCAAATTTATTTTCTTCGATTGTGGATTCCTTAATAATCAGTTCCTTTTGTTTTCAAATGTCAATTAATTTATATCCAGAGATTGATATTTGTTGATTTCGAGTTGCATGAAGCCTGCATGTATAATGTATAATGTATATACATTATACAATGAATTGTATAATGTATTGCACAATATTAAATTAATATTACAGAATCCAGTATATAATAATACCACACAAAAGTTTAAACATCTAATATTGATGAATTCATTCATATAAATTAGGATTCTCTTGTTGACTTTTTTTAACTATATTCTTTATTATCACACTGGTATGGAGAAAATAAGAAGAAGAAATTTCAATAGATAAGATTGCTCAGAAGATTTCTCTAATCTATGCCAAACGATAGAGTTAACATGAATTCTACTAATTAATTGAAGATATCATTCCTATATAACGGAACGGATATAATTCCTAATAACGGAACTGCTAAAGGGTAATGCTTACATTTTAAATATTATGGGCAATTCTAAAACAACTTCACGTATAAAAAGTATTTAACTCCGTAACATCCAGAGACATTAAAACTTACATTTGGCACTGAAACCCTTCTTGCATCCAACAGTGCCATTAACGCGATGAGCGTAGCGATTACTTAGCTTAATCGGCCAGCGTTAGTTACATTGCATAATTTTTGCATTAGATCTGCGGAGTTGTAAAAGTAATAAAAAAAAGCAATAAATTACATAGCTCTGTAGAGAGTTTAATACAATTTTGCTTTGGTTTTCACCTGCGAAAGCTATTATTGCAACTATTCAAATTTTCGTTTTTCTTCTTCTTTCATTATTTAACGTCGCATTTTAACGTTTAACTACATATACATACTTATTTATATATCATATACCTATAGATTTAATATGTTCCGGGAAATTTCCCCTGTTTTCTACGACGTCATTTGCAAAAGTGGGAGTTCGCATAAACGAAAGCAGCTTAATAATTAGCAGCGTCAAAATTGATCAACTGTACGATTTGTAGATGAAATGGTAATTTTTCGCAAAATCGAAGAAAGGACTTAATACATCTTTCATTTTTGGATCCGTTGATCATTCGCTAAATTCCGAACACACGGTTCAAATATCAATTCACTCTCTATTTACTTTCATTAACACGTTTCATGCTATGTGGGTCGCCGAGTACAACGCATTATAGCGGCTGCTACTCCATTTGTTCGAGACATATTTTACTGAACACCCGATTTACCGAATTTGCTACGAAAGAGCTCTTAAACTCTCATTATCAGGAATATCGTTACCAAGTGAGACTCGAATTATGGGAATATTGTGCTTCGTTAAGTTTCACCGCTAATACCTGGCCTATGGCTCCACTAGCAAGAATCATTCGCCTAATGTCAGCATCCTATTCTCGATATCTATAAACGATTTTGTCTCCCTTTAGATACGACTGAATAATTGTTATTATTAACGAACGTGATCTTATCTTTCCGTACTGATAACATCCAAACTGTTTTCACTATATTCACTACGACCCGTTCAGAGAATTTTTACGTTAATATTTGTAAATTAAATTGGATCAAAGTAAGTCGATGATATGTATTTATCTGCAGTTTGATTACAATATTACATACATATTTACGTTAATATTTGTAAATTAAATTGGATCAAAGTAAGGCGATGATATGTATTTATCTGCAGTCTGATTACAAAACTTATAAACCTACTTATAACATCTATCGAAGATACGACATTAAAAAAATAATAACAATCCGATTTATAAAAACTCGTTATAAAATATATAGTACTTAAAATATTGTTTAATAAACTCATTTATATAAATAAATAAATATAAATATAACATAAATTTAATTTAATTTATAATAACTTATGACGATTTTCAATAATTAAAGGAGACATATATATTTT